GCCTGAACCCACCCAATGCTTGTATGAACTATCCATCAACACACTTTCAAGAATAATGAAGTTTCTCCTTTCCAATTCCTCCAAAAAAGCCAGAGGTGCCATGTAGCGACTTTTTATAGCAAATATTCCTTATTCAAAGCTTTTTTAAATGACAGAAAATTAAGGCTAAAAAGATCTATTCGTCTCTGATTGCTTGGTTGTTTGCACCAAGATGTATACTAATTACATTCAGTCCCAAATGAGTAACTCTGGTGCAAAAAGTAAATTTGACATTGATTTTTAATGAAGTATGCTTGGGCTGTTGTTGAAGAAAATCTGGTGGAGAATCTTTATTGGTTTTGTTTGAAAAAATATTTTCAGTTCAGCATGTACTGAAAATATTTTTCAAACTGAATTGGAGCATACCTTCACTATATTTATGTACATATATAGACTTGATTTGATTTTAACTTAATTTACCAATTTACATATTTAGATTCGTAACAACTCAGACAAACAAACTGCATAATTCAATTTATATTTTTTAGTTCAGCAGTTAAATAACTCTTAATTCTCCACAGTAAAACTGATTAGTGCCTCAAGGTTATAGACTTTCTCAAAGAAGCCACTTTTCTCTCCCTAAATTCCATGACACACATGGTCTTCATACTATTACTTCACACATATATCATTTATAATTTAACTTTAAATCAAGTGTGAAACAGCAGGTAGAAACATTTGATTCTCAAAAATGTCCTGAATCCTATATAATGGACTCTAATGCATCACATGGTCTGGTGTCACAGCACTTTCAGGCCACTGCTTGAACTTAATGCCATTGTGAGAAAGCATTTGAGCTGGAAAACAATGTTAATTTTGCCATGTGGCACAAAAAAAGCTGAACAAATAGTAATCTAACTACATTTATGTTTAAAAGTGAAAGGTTATATGATGTTTTTCCATTGTTTAAACCTCCCTTTCTGTACAATGCTCTCATTAAAATTCATTATAGTACCTAGTACTCATGTACATTCTTCTCACCGTCAGGTAAACAGCGGAGTAAACACTCAGTGAAGCGTCCTTGGATGGGAACGACCGGCGTGCGTTCTCCACAACAATGGGGTTTCCAGTGCAGATGTTGCCGTTGATGATAAACTGGTGATTAAAACGACACTCTGTGCCAGTGTAGTTGGGCTTGCAGACAGAGAGGAAGTAGGGCGAGAGACCTCCCGTTACCACTTGGCCCGCATTGACGAAGATGTCTGTGGCAAACAGACCGAATGCAAACACACCTGGGGCACACAGACACACAATGAGAATTTATAGCACATAGAAAACACAATCCATCAGCAAAGAAACATTAACACAGCTTTAAATGCTTCACTTATATCCAGGGTTAAAATAGGCTGCGACTATCTGGCTCCAAAATATTGATTTTGCAGATGCACATGTTCCATCATTTAACTCTTGCCTTAATCCCAAATAAAGGTTAAATAGGTTTTGCTTCTTTGGTTTTTGTCAAGTTTGCAGCACACATGAATCTACCATTCGTATTGAAGTTGAATGAGTTAAATTGGAGGGAAGGAAGAGTGGACAACATGCAGAGAAAGAAACATAAACACAGAAAAAAATAGCATCTAATATGAATGATTGCACTGACACTTTCAGCCCACAAACCCTGACCAGTGTCTGCGTCTGCATTCCTTTTGCTGTGAAATATGACTGCTGATTATCTGGCCTGCTTAGCCATGAAATTACTCTGCTTTGTATTCTCATCCGGAGGGGGGGCCTGCAGAGGGCTGGGAAGGGGGGAGGGTTTGGGTGCCTGTGAGGGGTACAGGGACACGATTGTGTGAAGGGCATTGAAGGGAAATAGAGAGGGGGAATTAGGGTGAGAGGAGAGGAGATGGGAGGAGAGCGGGAAACTAAAAGCCTCAATGATCCTACAAATTTGAGAGACTGTTCGGGAACAGACGGAAATATAAATCATGTGAATTGCCTAATGAATTTCTGATGAGTGTTTAATAAATTGAACGGGCATTATTTAAAGCTGAACAATGCGGTTCTGATTATGCCAGGAAAGTCCAGCAGACAACCTCCTTTACTGGAACGAGACTGTCAGTTTGCCCAGTTCTACTCAAGCTTTGTGGAAAAGTGGCTGTAAAAATGCAAATTCAAACATTGTAGCTGGATGTCATGTAAGCTCTTTTAGAAAAACGACACGTGAGAGATCAAACCTTTTTTTGTAATATTGGGAAGTTTCAGAAAAAGCCTCAACCAGCAAGTTTACCCTTCAACCACATCAAAACCAGATGCATGACATGACATAACCAGTTCAAATTAAGCCAGATCTCTCCAAGTGTAAGCCCAAGAAGAATACCAAACAGCCCAGTATTTTTCTTTCAATTTTTCCTTGATTATGTGGCATTTTATCCAATGTAACTTTGTAATTTTACTCACACTTGAGGTGAGTTAGGTGTTCGCAACTGTTGGACAGCTATACACAAAGCCTATTAAAGGTTGCTAATAGCAGGATCAGGATCATTTAAAAGGCACACACACTGGTATCATCTTGACACGCATCATCACATAAAGCTACACCACTGTCCTGTTTCCAAGCATCAGCGAGCATCCGTGACCTCAGAACGCGAGCCAATTTATCATATTTGCTCCGCAGATCACATTCCCAGCTACCATCACTTCACTATTTCTAGTGTCTTCTTGGCAGGTCAGGTGTGTGCTACAGGCTTCAAATTATGTACCACTAGCTGACACTGCCGGTTTGTGTTGCACTTTATTCTCAAGTAGCAAGAACGGAGGATCAAAACCATCTGATCTAAAAACGTTTATATAGTGTGTATTTTTGGACACCCTCAGGTTTCTTGGGTAGAAGAAGCTGCTGTTATCCTTGGCCTTGTCTACCTCGTTAACCTCATCTTCTTAATCTCTCTCATTTCATCCTTCACTGTGCATCGACCTGGCTCTGACACAATGCAAAACTGGCTTATGCCGTCATATATCATGTTATGCACAGGTTGATGACCCTATTTGCTTGTATTCTCCGTTGGGAGGCACCCTCTTTTGCCCTTTGTTGGATAAATGAGAGTTTGGCAAGTCAGTATTATATGAGGTGTTTCATAATATGAACAAAGTCATCTTGGACACCAAATCCTCGAGCTCTGAATCATCAGGCTTACTGTTCAAGTTGGTAGCTTATTGCATTGGAGCTCCCCTCACAGGTGACTGACAGCACCCACATTCAACTGTCAGCTTAGCCATGATATATAGCATGTAGCTTCCTGGTTGAAAGCTTACTAAAAGACTGTGAAAGGCACAGAAGAACCCTGATGTTGAAGATGTGTGGTTTACTGAGCTATTAACCTTATAAACAGTGATTTATAGTTTTGTACTACATTAAACAGCAGAAAATTTAGCTTAAACTTGACAGAATCCAAGACTGAAGTGAAGACAACTGAAGCGCCTAAATGTCACTTCATTATCAATGGTGATGTGATCACTGAAGTGCATTCTGATACTGTATGCATATGAATAATGATGTGATCACTTTGCTACAAAAGAACAAAGAAAAACACAGTCAGTGAGTATGAATATTTGCACTATACTAAAATAAATGATTAAAATCAGCAGAATTATGCTTATTTTTTGGTGTTCTGGTCCTGCACTAAGGTGGTGCACCATGTAAACACTGGTGGGGCAGGAATGTGGCACAAGGTACTCATTGAGTAACCAAAGATCCCAGAACCTGTGTATGATGTGAGGCGTGAGCACATCAGCCGCCCTGTTGTGTCAGAGGATGCAAGACGTGTGTTTTGAGCACAAAAATCTTGAAACGACCTCCTTAATGCCTTTGAGATGTTGATTTAGTTTCACTTGAGTGTGTCTACTATGACCAGGTTTTAATATGTTGTTCATGAAATGAGAGTTTGTTTTTTACCAGCACCTACCAAACTTTATTCAATTATGGTTATTTTTACCCTGAATGGTCAGTGTATCCCGTAGGATACAAACTGTGTAGATGTGAAAGGACATGCACACATATTTTTTGTTGTTTGTTGTTTTTAGTTGTGGCACCATCAGCATGAAGCAGCTTGGGGCTAGTTTTTTACTATTTGGCATGAAAACCTTCTTACCTATGAAGCGTATGATGCGACGAATAAGAGGGTTGAGGTAACAGCAGTCTCCTGTCACAATGGTTTTCTCCTGGGCCAGGAGAGCTTCCCTCGTTGATTTCATCACGTACATGGACACCTCTCCGATGAAAATCTATACACACACACACACACACACACACACACACACAAATGCAAAGAAAAAGCAAAACAGAGATAGGAAGAGATTCAGAAAGAATCAACAATGAAAATACAAACAAAAAGAGCAAAAGAAAAACGGAAAGGAAAAAGGAAAAAAAGAAAACATGAAGTTAGGCATCCCATTATAGAGTAGAGGAACATTTTGCCTCTGCCTGTCTGGCCTGTGTACATAAACCACTGTGTCCTAATGCAGCCTTTCTTCAGCTCCATTATAGTCTGGACGTTACATCAGGTCTAATGGAAAAACTGCTGCTGGACACACAAAATGAACCTTGTTGCCAGCTGCCTTGGGTGAAACAGGGTGGTACAAAAATATGTGTGTTCATGAGTGGGGGTGTGTGCAATCACTGAGTGCATATGTGTGGACACGTGGCCTTTGGTGTGAGTGTGTGTGTTCATAAAAGGAGCTTGTTTTAAGCCCCAGGACAGGTAACAAAACTCATGTGTTTTCCTCCATCCCTCGTGAATGCTTTTTTATCATCAAGATGTTGTCGAGAAAGCAACTCTAATCTATTTCTTTCTTTGTGGCTACGAGCAGCGAGAGCGACTGATTTTGTGATGCTGGAAAACTCCAAAAAGCAGACAACAAAGAGGAACTGACAGCAGTCACATAAAACGGGTATGAATGTTTTAAAGCTCAGCTACTGGATTCAGTCCTGTCTGAATTTGTCAGCATGAAGACGGCTGAATTAATATTTTCAAACACTTTTTCCACTGGATGATGGACTGACATAAAGCATGCAAATACGAAATGAGACTATCCTGAAATGCATCGTGACAGAAATATACATCTTCTGACGCATAATGACCTAGAAACATCTGTCTTCAAAGGCAACATAACCAAAAAAGGAAAAATGCAAATCGATTGCAACTGTAAAAGGCACGCAACTTGTATGATCTCATTTGGTTATGGCTGAGCAGATGCGACAAATCAAAATGCAGAGGAAAAATGGGAAGGGTGGTGTAAGAGTAATAGTTAAGTGACATAATTTCACTACAGGCTGTAAATATTAGGATGTTTGAAGAAAAAAAAACATGACCTTAATGTAAACAAAATTATTCATGGGTCTCTTTAAGCAGCGTGAGTATATTGTATAATCAAAGTCGTGCGTATGCAAAGAATCCACAAAATATCTATGCTACATCTGAAATATAGGTCAGTTTTGACATGAAGGCAGCTCAGATGTACCTTTATCTCCTGTGATTCCAGTCTGTTATTGGCAAACTTATTGGTATTTGTCTCACCAGAGTCTGCCTCAGCACTGAAAAGGTTAGTTACCACTGACTGATTGTCTTATTTCTACTCGCGTAAACCCCACTCTCCTAAATACAATAGTCTATAAAGCCACACCAAATTGACTAAAAATCTCCAAAAGTACCATGTCAGAAAAACTGGGGAACAATTTGGTATTCAATGACCTGCTGTGGTGTCTGAGCAGAAAATGAAATGGTTGAACAATAGACACAAATAGGAGAACATGCAAATTTTTCACAGTGCACCTAATTCTTAAGAAGTAATTTGACATGAAATGAAAAGAACAGACCTCTGGTTCATCAGCTATCTTAATAACACTGACCCATCCACCAGCATTAAAGATTTATGGGAGCTTAGGTCCGGAATACCCTTGAAAGTCCATAAAATACTGTACCTGTGACTTTAAAATGACTGACAGTTACAGCCCAAAGTATTTAACAGTACCTTTTTGTATGTGTTTCACCCTATTCACATTTGATTTCATTTACACATTAAATGTGACAACTGCCCCCTGCGGATAAATGATTCATGGTGCGGTTCCATCATACTGACTGCCAAAAGCAGTAGAGATTTTTTTTCAGAAAATAATCAAGCATGCAGCCTGAGGCGGCATAAAACCTGTCTTGATTGTCAAAGTTTACAAGTTGTTAATTCTATGTGATGATCTTTTAAAATTTTAATAAAAACAAACCTTAGTTCAAGTTGAATAAGGTTTATTTGGAAATATGTAATGCAATGCAAATGTGTTAGCTGGATAAAACAGCCCTGAAAACGACTGAAAACAATCAGTCATAAATGCCCTCTGGCAAGAAAAATGTATTTCTTACTCTGCTTTTCACCCTTTCCGTTATTTACCCATTTTTCAAGGGTCTTCGAGAATCTTTTATTCTACCAAATGTCAACAAATGGTAACAAATAACAAGTCCCCAGAGAGGTGAGGCAGATACTCTCAGTTCTACTAGGGTTTTAATGTCTTTCAGCACGTTGTTTTGGCTGGCCCACAACTTTACATTTTGACAACCGAGCTAAAAGGAATGAATATTGGAATTATACTCATTGTGTAGCCAGAAACACAACTCCATGAATGCTAATGTTGCTCTGTCTGCTGGAAGTGTAAACAGGCAACTGTTTGCTCACATTCACTTTATAAAGTGAGAGTTTAGCTGCCCCAAAGAGAAAAGAAAATCAATTAATGCGCCTTTAATGTCTTCTTAATGAGCCGATCATTTTCAGCATTGCTACCAAGACACAAAAAAGGCAGTGGAAATAGCCATTAAGGACCAACATTGGTATGGAAAAAAATGAACTGGAGTTGTGGGTTTCCCTCTCTGATATCTCCGCCTTTAAATATCAAGTTTATTTTAAGAAACTTCTACAGTCAGTCATGGTGATTACCGCTCTGTATCTAACATTAGTCCGCCCCCCGTTGCTTTTGGATCTGCACTTGACAAGAACAACATCCTGCTTATCTCCGAGGCTGAAAGGCTGACTTTCTGATGCTTGTCCTAGGCTGAACAGGTTTATAGACCGTTGCATGAATACGACCTATCTAACCTCCACAGCCTCCCATTGGTCCGGCCATGTGGAACATTCTGCATAAATTACTGCCTCTTTGCTAATTGGCCAACATCCCAGCCATGTCATCATTAATTCTGATTGGCTGCTTCTCTGGTTTATGACGCATGTGGCAACGAAGCAATATATACAGTGTCAAGCACCTGACGCAGCACTCTCAAAGGGCACAATTAAAAAGTTTGGGATAGCATACAGACTGATGAAGAGACTATGAAATACCAAGGCCACATGTTGGCCAGTGAGAGAGAGAAATAAAGCAAATGACCAGCAGTGTTAAACAAAACCTGAACAGCTGACACAGCCCTCACAACTCATTAATCCTGTCTATTGCTTATGTAAAAGTATACACAAAAATGAAATTGTGTGACCATAAGAGACAAAAGAACAGGCCATCACAATTAAACAAAAAAGAGAAGGGTAGAAACAAAAGATTTATACTAGTATTTACAGTTAGTAAACTAATTAATCATTTTGTTTAGATATTTACAGTACAATGTACCAAGACCTGAAGTAGTTGGTTGTACTTTCCAGTCGGTCTGTAATGACATTTCCTATTTTTCTTCTTCTTTTTTGTGAAGTAATCAGTGCAGAAGAGTCTGTCAAAACTGCACACAGATGCACTCTAACCAAATCAGCTGTAAATAATATCGTCTGTCACATTTCTTCCAATCAGAAATGCTCTTCCGGATTTTAAACCAATTTATTTTATAGTGTATGTCAGAGTGTGTGTGTCTGTGTGTGTGCAGGTGTGTAACGCTGTGGACTGCTGACGCGTCTGTACACCAATTAGCTACAGGGAGGAGATGCGAGCTTAGGGGATGCGTTTCATTTGGTTCAATAAAAGTGACAATAATTCAGATCTTACTTCAGCCTAACATATCGGTAAGCGCACTCAATGTTTAGAGCCTGAGAGCAAAGAACGAAATGTCCTAGATAATAAACACAAAAAGGAAGAGACACAAAGAGGCAGCAGAACAGTAATATCTCATTACAAATAAATGGGTGGCGCGTGTCCAGAAACCAGACATCTTCAACAATCACGTCCCTGATTAAGTGCCTTTTGAAATCGTAACAGAGAAGGAAGATGTTTGTTTGGGAAGGAACCTGGAATACAAAAATGGGATACATACAGTACACTGCTAAAAGCCTTCCATAGCACTAATACAGTTTTACTAAATGTTAAATTTGCTGTAGAGTGCTACAGATAAGTGTGAGCGATGGAAGTGCCTATAATGGCACCTTTGATAACCTTGACTTGTTCATCTCTAATGTTTTGTGACTGTATGTTTATATTTTTGACATTTTTAACGGTTTTTTTGAGAAGTATGTCAGGAAATCCTGTCACTGTGAAATGCTAATAATTCATGAATCAAATGCTGCTATTATATACACTAAATATACAAAACAAATGATTCAAAAATGTATTTAACATACAGTACTGAATGTAACAATACACAGCATGCACAATGAGGAAAGGAATGAGGAAAGCTAATCGACTTAGCATACAATTTTACAGTTAGCTGGCAACTTTGTACTCACAATGCAAATTATTGTATAATAGTGCACACTTACTCATCTGACAGTAGTGGATGTGAGATCTCACAAAAGGTCCGACTGACTGAATTAAATGAACAAAAATCTGATAATGGTGATAATGAGAATGAAAACAAACATGGTGCAATCTAAAAATTTAAGTTACCAGCATTCAGCTTGAATCCTTTAATCAACATCAAATTGTCTTTACTGTAAGTTTAGTTTCATGATACCACAGTATTTTCTTACCAACACCTGAATCCCCAGATAATGTGCACTACAGTCAAAGTCAAAGCTGATGTATGGAATTGATTATTTTAAAGAATCATTTAAAACTAGCACAGCATATCTGAACTGATGTAATTCACTGCTGCAGACCTTAGCATTTCTGCACTTCATGATTAAAATATACTGAAGGTCTGCCTGAACATGAACCAGACTGAATCTGTATTCAGGGATTGACTCGCCTCTTCCTCCACATATGGTCCATTTAAAATGTGAAAAAATGAATTATAATATTAAACAGACACATGCAAACACTCTTCAGGAGGTGTTCAGAAAATATTTGACATGGGTTTAATAATGAACTGACCCAGAGTCCCAGAGACATATGGTGCCCGGGCTGGTGTCCTCAGCAAGCATGGAGCGAAACTGACACCTGGTGGCTGTATGCTGCTACTCCTCTATAATGAATTTGAATCAGCAATGCAGATGTGCATACTTATCCTCATAATATATTATTTAAGCAGTATGTGTACAAAAAAAAACTACTACTTCCACTCAAAAATGTTCTTCTTCTTGTTCCTAGAGTTGGATGTTTGAGCTTCACTGTGCAGAATGATGTATGTGCAGAGTTTGACACTAGAAGGATGTTTTTCACATTCATCTTTACAGTTAAGTAGGAGAAATCTTGTCTACACCAGGAAAACTTTAAAAGGGACCTACATTTGCATATTCATAGATTCTTGACTGTTTAATGAGGTAGGATTAGTAGATTCCCTTTTAAGGTTTTGAATTTAGAAATTATACTTTTTTTGCAGAAAAAAGATATCAGAGACACATTATTGTCCCAAGCACATTATTTGTATATATGTCTTAATACATGTCTGGAGGGGAACTATTTTATATTAATGGGAAATGACACAATACATGCAATGTCGGACTTTAATAAAACTGTAACTTTGTACAACAACATCTTAAGAAGACTTAAGATTTAATAGTTGTTTCAGTACCTCCCACAATTTCTTTTAATCTTTCCCAGCTTTGACCAGCTCCGCCATTTCTTTTGTGCATTGCATTGTGGGAAAATAGTGACAGCCAAAAGCACACTCAAAAATCGACAGTGTGTATTATGGATACTGTCGGGTTTAAGTATACCTGAGTACACTACATACTCAAAACATGCTTCAAATTAGTGTGAAGTATGGATTTCGGACACATTTTATATTCTGATCTTTTCTATTTAACATCAACTGTGAAAGGACAGAGTGACGTTTGCCTCATTACGTCTGTAGTCAAGAGGTAACTTGACTTCCTGCTGATGTTGAAGAAGTCTCACAAATGCATGGTGAATCAACATGCAACAGGAAATCCAACTGCCTTTCATGAACTGGAATCTCAATGGATATAGTGTATAAGAAATCACATCACAGTCCAGGAAAGTATTTGTCATATGCAGCCCACATTCACGCCTCCTTGTACAGCATGACCCCACTGACACTTCACTGGTGCATTCAGCATGATGTTTCATGGTGCACAACAACAAATAACAAGTCTAAGAGATACTATATAAAGTTCAAAAGTTTAGCCTGTGAAATCAGCTGACCCATAAAGAGATATGAAAACGGTCTTCAGTCAGACAGCTTGCCATGACATTTTCTCACATATTTTTCTCGCAGAGAAAGTGAAAGGATAGACAACTGCAGTAGGTAACAGGCAGATACGATGCTTGGCTGAGTTTCTATTCTGCACAGATGTCCTGTTTATTAAGTACACCTTGTAAAATTCAACACTAATGTAACTTATGTGCACTTACAAACACTGTCAGAAAGTACGATAGGTCAAATAAGATAGCAGCATATGTTAAGTGTAAATGAAGTTTGGAAACATTACGATAATTAGTAGCAGGTAGATTTCCACTGGAAAAAGCTGTGATAAAAATGAAAGCTGAGAGACAGAGCCTGAATAAACACATTCATGCCACATCTGATTACCGTTGTTTACACTCCAGCATGTGGCATAATAAATTAAGCACTGCTGTGAAATACATACAAAATAGTTAAAATAGTTTTTACTCACTATAGCAGTGGGAGCAGCAGCTACCACGCAGTACAGGATGAGAGGGGGTACGAAGCTGGACTCCTCTGTGCCGGGGTACGGCTTCATCAGCTCCGCGTCGTTACAGAAGAAACCCTGCACATGCACGCTGAACAGGTCCGTGCACTCCATGTAGTAGGCTAACAACACCGTGCCGGACATAATGACGAGCTGGAAGAAAAACATGTTGGAGCGAGACAGAGCGAGAGAGTAGAGAAAGTTGAAAAAAAGGAGGAGAAGAAGAAGAATGAGAAGGGGGAAAGAAGAACTAGTTAGTTGTATATCCAGGGCACTGAAGGCTTTCCTCCTTGGCTCAGTTGTCAGTAGTTAAAAAAAAGTCGATTTCCTTATTAGATGATTTGTTCTTGTGGCTGATCCCTGAACATCACTCCACTCTTCTCTCAGCTGTGACGTGTCTAACAGGTTTTAACACAAACGGCCACATAAATCCTTTAAAACCATCTCTTTTCCCCTCTCTCTCTCTCTACTTATGCTAACTCGTCGTGTACAAGCAATCCCCCTCACCACCAGAACCACCATCACTTACCACCTCCTCTCCTCCCTCACCCCCTCATCCTTTTATCCCTCTAACATCATCTTTTGTCTCTGGCCTCCTTTTGCTCTCCTTCTAGAATCGGCTGCAGGCAATTTAGTTTTTTTATATATATATATATATATATATAAATATATATGGTATCCTTAGTCACTGATAATGAAGCAATGCTGGAATATAAAATGTAAGACATCACGCACTGCGAGGCCTTTAATGTGGTTTCTGAAAATCATCTGCATTTGTGTCATTCAGGCACTAATATGCCGATACTGTCGTCAATCTAGCCAACCAGCTGGCACTGTGCTGGGGTTTTTATATCAAAGGAAAGTGATGAGATACTACGAAGGCTGCTGGATAAAAGAATGGCCCAATAACATCACTAGAACAGGAAGGAGGAGGATATCTTAGTCAGGCAAAAGTACTGCCAATGAATGTAAACATTCACGTAAAGGTAATATTAGAGTAGTTACAGATACTCAGCTTCCCATGGTCACAGTGAAATTATAAAATGTCTTAACTGTAGCAGAAGGGAGGAAAGAAGAGAATTATAAGATGCTTTATTGACCCCATAGGATCAATAAAGTATCAGATTATTACAAATAGATTAGAGTGGAAAATATGATGCAAGCAGTCATGTCTGATTATCTTTTCACGTGTTTGCTGAAAAGCTGCAATCTGCATAATGTTTTTATTTGTTAAAACTTCATATAGAAGTGACAGCAGTATTATGAATGGGTCCATTTGTAATACTTCTCTCCAACACAAGATGTCACTATGTGACTACAGAGGATCAATATGGCTTCAAAAAGGAGGGCAAGACAAATCATAGTTGTATTACAATACAAGAACTTAATTTCATTACCTGCTGAAACTTTAAAATGCTAGGTAATTATTGTATTATGTTAATTATTTAACATTTTCAGCCAACTAAAATAGTGATTAAGATTTTGTTTGTGAAAACAATGCTTGAATCTAGAGCTGCTTGGTGTAAACGTCTATATTCAGTTACACATTTCATTGATCTTATCTCACAAGTAGCAAAGACATCACAGACAACACAACCAGACATTAGGCTAGATGTCTATCATTTAACAGTGATATAATAAAGAAATGGCTTGTTGTGACGCCCACAACTCCAGCCTGCAAATCCAGTCACTACAAGCCAGGTGAGTTATGGTAAAAGCCCCTTCAGACTAAACAATACAGCATAAGTTGTTTCTCATGGCTCTGAAAGCAAAGCAACCAATTCTGGGCCCCACTTGTTGTCGGCCTTTGTATTCCACAAGTGAGTGCATTTTGAGTCGTGTGCTCACTCACTCCATTCCAGGGACCACTGTTGATATTTTGTGATTTTACACTAAAGTACAACCTTTAAAGAAGATTCATAGGTTGTTCAGGATCCCAACAAGGCCAACAAATCAGTGATCAGTGACATTCATATGAATTTCAGTGCATCACAGATAGAAATATTGACTAATTTTGTGTTGAGGGCAGTAGTGTTAGTAATGGAAAGCTGCATGTTAATAATAGCAACAGTTCATTAACATATCAGCTGACTCAGTAAGCAAGATGACATTTCACAAGCTCCATTTCAGACTGTTTAGAAGTACAGACTAAAGGCAAGACAGTTTACTGTGTTACAGTAACCTACATTTGCTTACTTTTACTTTTTTATTCTTTGTATGTTGCCTGGAACAGCATAAACTTTTAGCTTATCCTCTTGTGCAAACCATTTTTTAATTGTCAATTTATCAAGTAAATCAATTCTAACTTTTGAGGAAAGCTTCAATTTTATGGTTTTTTTTTTGTTGATCTTGATCTACCGAGCCTCAACCTTGGGTAAAAAGCCACCGCCACTAGTGTAGCCCTTTTTAATTTGTCATGCTAGAGCATACACTGACCTGTATATGATTTTTCAAGTTCATTCATTTTGCAGCAGCATACAGTAAACTGCCCATGGCTTTCCTGAGTCAGACACTACAATAAAAGTTAATGGTCAACAATATATCCTGTCCAATCCAATGAGTAGTATCAGAACGAACCGTTGTTTCAAGCAAAACCATGTTTTCCTCTGTAAAATATGGAGGGTGTGTGAACCAGACTGAACAATATGGGCAGTGGGGTTCAGACAGAGAAGGCAAGGAAGCGACTGTGCTTTACAGAGGGCAGGAGACAAATGTTGGCAGATCTAGTCCTGTGACAGATGGTCATGCCGAGATGTCCAGGTGTGTGTGCCTGTGTGTTTGTGTGTATCGGTTCCTTTGCCACGTTTCTGAATATCACTAGGCTAGTTAGCAATATTGTTTTGCTTTCTCCCGTTATTACAAATGTCCCCTGCTGTGGATAACATTTTCACACAGTTCATATGCATTAACAACCACTGTCATAATACCTGGATGCACACCATACCTTGCAACATCATCAAAATCCTCTTGCTCTTTCATCTCAAAGACAGACAGACGGGGGATCATTTTATGATCTCATGTTGTTCCACAAACAAGTTCCAGCCGGATAATCGGCTAAAACATTATTCATATTCATTATTCATCTGAAAATATGTAAATTCCTTAGCTTGCAGAAATGCCATGTAATACCTTGTGGGATCACATACCTGAGGATGTCAGGTTTACAAAGAAATGCCTGAAAAGGGCAGATTAATAAAAGGGGGTGCACAGTGGAGTACACTTGTTGAACTCTATTATTATTACTGCAATTTCATTTACTTTGACCTTTATCTTATTTGCATTTGGAAGAAAAAGACTAAAGCGTGCCTCAAGCTCAATCACAAAAAGAAGCCCGGGTTCAGCAGTAGCCTGAAAATGTAAAGGTTGCTGGTTCCTGGAGTTGGTTGTGAATATCAAGATGTCCTTGAACCATATCTTCCCTCCTACATTCATCCCAATCACCAATCTCTCTTAAATCTCTATAAAGCATATTCTCTCCATCACTCACCCCACCTCCTCCTCCACACTATAAATCATAGAAAGCCATAAACAACCAGCGAGCCATTAGACATGATAAGAGTCGTGGGGCCGTGGCAAAATACCAAAACAGGCCACGAGAGACAGGCAGTTTCAGCTTGTACAGCCCGATCTTACTCTTCACGTCTCTTGTCTGTCCTGTAATCTGTAGCGGACCCCACTTGGTTCTAAGGCTTACCTTCTGATAAAGAGGTTGAGGTGTGCCAACAACACTATTGAAAAGACAATTGTGGTGTAGTGTAATCTCCTGAGGCTGGTAGCCATTTCTGTGACTTTTTCATGAGCTGGCTTTTGTGTAACAGTTCTACACCTGGACAAGTGTCCCTTTCTCTGTAAAGCATAACTTGTGGCTCCATTATATTCACGCCCCAGCCAGCGTCATGCCGCATTAGCTGTGTGAAGGGCAGACTGACAAGACTGGCTGTCGTAAAATGGTTATACAAAGTTCCTGCAGCATGCTATTATCCTTCTCCCTTGGAGGGTACAATTCACCTTTTTTTACCCAAGATTCTGGCAGGGTATTTTCGTGCAGCCGTCTACCTCTAGGGAGTTTTAACATGCCCCATTTCTCAGTAACTTTCAGGTAAGTAAATCACTTCAGAGAAGTGGAGAACAATTTTCTACTGCTACCATTTATAAATCATAAATCATATATCATATATAATCATAATCTTATAAGTCTAAAAATGCCCAACTCTTTTTCAACCTTAAAATTGTTTCAATCAATGTTTTCCAATTAAAATTGGATCATATGACCGCCTGTACTGTTAAAGTGGTCATTTGTAGTGACAACCCCACAGAGAATTCTCCTCCACTCTATAGTGCATCTTTTCCACTTTGCTGTACGTACAATTTTACTGTTTTGGTTCACTTTCTTGGCTGTTGAAGCAGGAACATGTTAAACCCACTGTACACTACCAAACAGCAGACGGAGGCGAGCAAAGTTAGCAACTAGCTGGTGAGTCAGATATTTCCCTCAGGAGTTGGTGGAGACCAAAATAGAGCTAAAAGGAGACTAAATATTTGACCTACATTCTTCAGATGGACAGAAACATGAAAATAAATGCCAATAATGCTGTTTGCTGAATGTGTAGGCTAATATCAAGTTCCAACTGTCTTCTGGGTTCTCTAAAGTTTCCATAAATATGAATGAATCCAGTTTTAAAGCAAGGAAATGTAACTCTTGAAAGAAGAAATAAGTGGTCTGGTATGACCAGTGGCATAGAATGGTAGCAAACCCTGGATAGAAATGGTTATATAACTACGAGTACTGTCTAAGTCCACTGACTATGTTAAACTATGTTTTCACATTCACAGTGGCCAGTGTTTAGCAAAAGTAACACTGTAATCTCACTTTAACTCAGTTATAAATTGTATAATTTAAGTCATATGAGTAAAAGTTGTGTTTGCTTTTCTGACAGATTTGGAACCACTTGTGATATTACTTTGTTATATGTTTGTAATTACTTTCTACACAGCCAATTTCATCATAATAAAAAATCCAAACCTAATTGAATTTTTACCCATCACTCCTCGTCTGCAACCCTTCCAATCTCGTCTCTTCTTCGTCTCCTTCACTCCAAAATCTTTTTACTGTCAGTCCCAACCTGCCTCTGCTCCCTCACACTACGAAAACA